CTGCTAACCAAAAGCCTGGCAGTTCAAACCCACCAGCCACTCTGCGGGAGAAAGATAAGGCAGTCTGCTTCTGTAAAGATTTGCAACCTTGGAAACCCTATGGGGCAGTTCTGTTCTGTCTATAGTGTCACTATGAGTCAGAATCAATTTGATGGGAGTGGTGTTTATTATCACTGTAACTGACATATTTTTCCATATTGTCCTAGTTTCACTATAAATCAATTCCCTAACTGTACACTGTCTGAATAAAGTTCCTTCTGGGCTTCTTCTTACTTCTGATTTAACTAGGCTTTGTGAGACCAACACAATTACTATGTTTAGAAAAATTTGACAACATGCCAGTTTCTTTACTTGAACCCTACTTATAAACCCACGTGGAAAGGAAAGAGACACAGGGAGGAGTTTTTTTTGGAAATTAACCATCACTTAAAATTCACCTTGGTGGAAACAAGAACACTTCTTGGGTGACCAGTGCTCTGGAGTCCACATCTTTACCTCAGTGCCTGGAAATTTCAAGACCAAATCTGATTGTTTTTTCTTCTTGCTACAGGTTAGTTTTGTGATCTTTATTTCCATGAAGACTGGGGCTTTATGAGATTTAATTTTTTAATTTTATGCCATATAATTATATAAAATTTTAAATTTTAAAATTGTCCTTGTGTTCCATATAGACATCAAAAGAGAAATACTAACTATATAGTATGGGATATTTGCAAGGGAGGGAGAATATAAAGCTTTTTAAATAGACCAAGAATTCACCAAAAGAGTGACTTGTTAATATTTCCCACCTGGCAGAGGACAGTGTCTCCTATGTGTGTGAAAAGAGATCTGGTCCATTGTGATTTCATTTGAGTTTGTTACAGAGGAAGTTATAAATGAATAGAGGTGACTGGGAAAGAGAATTTAAGGGGAGCTGCAGGAGGAGAAGAGGACGGAAGTGATCAAGGACACCCCAATATTATAGGAAACAAAACTGTGTATGTTTTGACTTCAACAGCCAAGGAATTAAAATACCCTGAAGTAAAGCATTTGACTAGACATTTTTGACAATTGAAATGTGATTTTTCTCAAATTTATATATCTAAATATAAGTGCAGTAAACTTAGTGCTTAAAAGTAGATGCTGCATATTTGGGTCTACTTTTTAAGTTAGCAAATGCTCTCTTTTTTACCCATGTATTTCTATGACCTTATTTTTCTTGTTATCACAGAGTCTTTCTTCTATTGTGTGGTCCAGGGTGTTAGCCAACCTTATAACCCTGCTAAACACCTGGAAGCCCTATTTAGTAACTGGTAAATACTCAGGGGGATATTTAAGTGCTTGCTATTTTCATTAGATAAATTCTTATTAGCCTCTGGATACATTTCAGGTAGTGAAGCCTTAAATAAAAGGAATTACCAAGTAACTCTACATCCAAAATAGCCTTGTAATAGCTGTCATAATCCACCATAATATAAACATGTAAAAATGCAAAACAAAGTTCCATTGGGTTTCTTCCTCAATTCAGGGCATAATAGAGCAATTGCCCACTGAAAAACTAAGGAAACATATTTTACAAAAAATTTACCACTCTGTGATTCAACTGAGTTTTGGAAGGTGAAACACGGTGGCATCGATAGGGTTGCTGTCACCCTGTGCAGTAATTCATGCTGTCACATCCCCCCCAAGAACCTCCTCCCATACCAGACTATACAGAATCTTTAGACGTGATATAGTTGTAAATTGCTTAAGCGTAATTTTCTTAGATTCTGTGAATACTAACAATAAAATTGCTTTGTAAAATCTCTCTACATTGAATTACAATATTATTAAAGTATTAGTAAATGAACAGAAGCCTTTTTTTGATTTAACTCCTTCTTTTCCTTTAATTACTACTTCATTCTCAAAAGAGTTATTGATACAGGTTAACAAATGCTACTTAGCACAATATCATAGCTAAAGCACCAGAAAATTTGACACAATCAATGGCTATAAAAGCACCGGCAGCATTAAAAATAACACTTCTTGAAGAACATGTGGGTGAAACAACGTTATTCAAAGTGCCATTATAACTGGGTAATAATGACAGTTCTGACCAAAGTGCATTAGACAGTTCAAACAATAAATTAGCATAGAGTTTTAGCTTTGTAGATACATGTAAGCTTGCCTTATGAAAAATGTGCTTTTTTTGTTATAAGTAACTTAAGAGGTATTTTATAAAAAAAAAAAAAAGTAATAAATTTCTGCTGAAACTTTGCACAAAAATTTTATAAACAGTCATTTGGTGTCTCTCCCTCTGACAGTGTCACCCAGTGTTGTCCACAAATCTCTCCTCCCATCAAACCAAACCAAAACCAAATGCACTGCTGTGGAGTCGGATCCGACTCATAGCAACCCCTCCTAGGGTTTCCAAGGTGGTATCACTATGGAGGTAGATTGCCCAGTCTTCCTTCCGAGGAGTGGCTGGTGGTTTTGAACTGCCAGCCTTCTAGTTAGCAGTCAAATGCCTTAGGCACTATGCCACCAGAGCTCCCACCATAGTCCCCTAATGACACCACTGGTGAAACATAACTTTGGGAAGTAGGTATGGTGAGGAGAGAAGCGGTGTCCTCAGAGACACTTACAGGTAAAAGGCATTTCAGAATATCTGTTGATAGTGTGTAGTCCACTTTTTTGTTGTTGGGGTTCCATCCTTGAAAAAATACACTGGAACTTCAATGTGCTTTATTTGCTGTAAAACAGATTAACCTTGTTGTTGTTGTTGTTATTTGCCATTGAGTTGGCCCCGACTCATAGCGACCCCTCCTTGGGTTTCCGAGGCAGCATCACTACGGAAGTAGGATTGCCCAACCTTCCTCGGAAGGAAGGTTGGGCAATCCTACTTCCTTTACATTTTTATCAATTATAGCTTTTATTATGATTAAGCACCATATGGTAGTGGTATTGCTCACTGCTGTATCTCCCATGCACAAGAAGCATATGTGAGACTGCAATTTATTAAGTCAGATCGTATCACTCTTCTCAAAACCCTCAATAGATTTCCATTTCAATCAAAATGAAGTTCTTGCATCAACCTACAAAACGTGTCTGATAAGGCTTACCATTGCCTCTCTAACCTCATGTTATTACTACTTTATACAGTTTTCTTGCCCTCTCATGCTTTCTTTGAGTTTCTTCAAAAAGGCCCAACCTGTACCTGCTCTTCTCTCTGCCTAGAATGTCTCTTCTTTCAGATTTTTTTATGGCTTGGTGTGGTGGTTATGTTTTGTGTCAACTTGGCCAGGCCTGGTTGAGTGGCTGGGCAGCTAGATGTAGTATTCCCCATGATGAGACCGGTAATCAACTCCAGGTTGGAATCTACTGTGAGCAGCTGAGTAGTAGTAGGGAATGTGGTCTGCTTCCTGTATTTAAGCAGCAGCCTTGGGAAATGGTCTCTAGCCTATGGCACACTTGGACCCTGCATGTAGCCATGTTAATGGCCTGCCATGTGGTTTGGTAACATCAGGACTGTGCCTTTTGACTTGTCAACCTTGGGGCTTCTCAGCCTCAGCAGCCAGCAGCTATCTGAGTGAAGAAACGCCTCTAGCTCCAGTGGGCCGGGAGCAGGAGGTAGAGCTGGACCCCAAGGTTGAGGGGCTTTCACCCAGCCCCTAGAGCCTGGCACTTTGAACTTGGACTTAAAGCCTCCAAATTGTAAGCATGAACTCCTGTTTGTTAAAGCCTTCCCATTTGTGGTATGTTCTTGTCGGAGCGGCACTAGGAAACCAGAACACTTGGTCTCTCGCTTCCTGCTTAAATGTCACAAAAAGTACTTCCCAACCTTATTATATAAAATAATACCCTCTCTCCTGTATTCCACATAGCCCCTACATTGCTTCATTTTTATTAATAATACTAATCATCTGGCTTATTATTCATTTACTTTTCTGTTTAGTCTCTTTTGACCTCATTATAATGTTCTCAAGGAACTATGTCTGATTTGTTCACTATTGTATTTACCCCCATTAAAGTAGTATCTGGCACATACCAAAACCATACTTGTTGCAATCGAGTTGATTCCAATTCATAATGACACTATAGGACAGAGTAAAACTACCTCATAGGGTTTCCAAGGCTATAATCTTTACAGAAACAGATTGTCATGTCTTTCACCTGTGGAGAGACTGGTGGGTTTGAACTGACAATCTTTCAGTTAGCAGCCAAAATCTTAATCACTGCACAACTAGGGCTCCTTATCTGGCATGTTGTAGGTACTTAATACATACATATTGAATGAATGAATGAATGAATGGAAGGATATTAATCTCTAGTTTGAAGGCAGTTAGACTACTTTTCTAAGGGTTATACTCATTACTTGATAAAATGTTCTGTTGGATTTCCTTTTTTCCTACTTTAAACCCTATCAAGAGACAAAAGTTGGAATTCTCTGGTTGAAATAAACTGGGCAGAAGTACCAAACCTGTGTATTTCAACAAGAAGATAGTGGTGGATGGGATTAAAAGTCAGTTTGGACAAATCTGTATGTGGAGAGTTTTTTTTCAGGCTGTTGTTGTTGTTATGTGTCTTGGAGTCAGACTCGACTCATAGCAACCTCTCCTTGGGTTTCTGAGGTGGTATCACTACTGAAGTAGATTGCCCAACCTTCCTTCTGAGGAGTGGCAGGTGGGTTTGAACCTCCAGCCTTCTGGTTAGCAGTGAAGTGCCTTATATGCCAAGTGAACGGAAATCATCAAAAAAAAAAAAAGAAAGAAAGAAAGAAACTTAAAAATCAAGTCATATAGTCAAGAAAATTTTAGGAGTCAAAACCTCTATTTAAAACAATCTATTTTATATGTGAGAGTGTTTTGGTAGGTAGGATTCTCTGTCACTCTGAAAGCTGTTGAATAGCATAATAGATTAAGTAAAATGTTCCTTAAATGAATTAACTAGCAATTTTAGAGAAAAAAAAAATCTTGCACTATAAAAAATGACATGCCAATAAAATCTGATTTTATAATTTAACTTTCCTGATACAAGAGACAATGCCAGGAAAAAGAATTGCAGTGATTGGTGCTGGGGTCAGTGGATTAAGTGCCATTAAGAGCTGTTTGGAGGAGGGACTCGAGCCAACTTGTTTTGAAGGAAGCAGTGACATTGGGGGACTGTGGCGATATGAGGTAAGTTTAAATAGTGTTACGCTTCTATATGTATGATGACATCACCCCCCCCATATCTGGAAAATAGAAATATAAAGATTATAGCACTAATTTATTCTTAAATCACCAGCATAATTATTATTGCCTATGCCTCTGGTCAAATTCATATTGGGATCATTTTTATATCTATAATTAGAAGTTTCTATGCCCACTCCTCACTTACAGACATGGTTGGGTTCCAAAGACCAGGTCATTATGTGGAAATTGGTGTTATGTGAGAATGGAGGATGACTACATCGGATCACAAAATGGAAGATGACTATATCATTACATAACTGCCGAATTACATCATTACATGCCTGCCAAACACTGAGAATCATGGCCCAGCCAAGCTGACACATAACCTTAACTATCACAGCCAGTGTTACTCTTGCCTCATACCTCAGCATTCATTACTGCCAGATGTATGTTGTTAATCTGCAAAATAGTTGGATAGTAAATTTGTTACTCTTGTCAATAATGTGAAATATTTGATAATGAGATAGTCGGTAAGTGAAAAGCAGGTGTAATGCTTATGTCTTTATTTTTAAAGTACTCTATATTAACAAAACTTGGAAAATAAATTATTTGGCAGTTTTTTTTTTAAGGCTTAAATGTTTTTAATAACATCTAGGAAGTTGCATTATTCTCAGATTCTAAAATGCTATTTGAGGAACAAATTTTCCTTTCCCAGTATAGATAATAAAACATTTGTATGAAAAATAAGCATTTCCTTCAGACCAAAGTTTGCTTTAGATGAATTTTAACTGACATTCTTGATATGGAAACTTTATATTCAAAGGACAAAATAAAATATTAGGAAATATTAGTTGACTAAAATACATATTAACCAAACAGCTAAAATATTATGCTATGTTTGACACATGTGAACATTAGATTTAAGAGAGGAAAGGTGTTCGCAGTCAATTTTTGAAGCAAAAGAAATCTTGTTCTATTTCTAGGTAAAAGAAAAGTCAAAACACTTTCTACTCAGAGAAGAAATATATTTCAGAATTATTGGTTTTATGAAGCACAAGCATCTGTAAATTACTGTGTATTACATTTTTCTTAAGGAGGTCCTACATAACTCTTAGGAGCTCTGGTAGCGTAGTGCCTAAGGCACTTGACTGCTAACCCGAAGGCTGGCAGTTCAAACCCACCAGCCACTCCTCAGAAGGCAAGCTGGGCAATCTACTTCCAGAGTGATACTGCCTCGGAAACCCAAGGAGGGTCGTTATGAGTCAGGTCTGACTCGACGGCACATGACAACAACAACAACATGCCTCTGGTGGCATAGTGCCTAAGGCATTTGACTGCTAACCTGAAGGCTGGTGGTTCAAACCCACCAGCCACTCCTTGGAAGGAAGGTTGGGCAATCTACTATCTTAGTGATACCACTCAGAAACCCAAGGAGGGATTGCTATGAGTCCAAGGCACATAACAACAACTACAACATGCCTATATGTTGAATTCCAGTCTTTTCCCCCAAGGGTAATGAAGCAATCTTTCCTTCCAGAGTCCAGCTTCTTGATAAGAGAATGTGTGCTTGTTCTGTGCATTTCCTCACACCTCGCTCCACATCTAACTTTTGCTACACGATGTCCTTCCTCAGCACCCTCCCTAAAAAAGGGCAAACCAAATGGACTTTCTGTCCTAAAATTTCTTACTTTTTCAAAAGGATTTCATAATGTTAAAACTAACTTATTTTAAAAAACATTTGCTCCTATCTTCTGCAATTCTACTCTTGTTTTTTTTTTTCTCGATATTTTTTCACCTGGTCTCTAACTAGGGCTGTTTTAGGCTTCATTTTCAGTCTTTTTAACTTTTTACAAGTTTCTTATAGTACATCTTTATGGTCCATGGCTTCTGCTACCTCATATATTCTAATGGTTCTTGGATCTTTATGTCCAATGTAACAATATATCTGTATTAGAGCAAATAGCACTAACTGTCCCAGAGACTCTGAAATCTCAAAGGCTTAGTCCAATAACAGTTTGTCTCTGGCCTGCATCTTGGGCAGATGTGAGTTTGATGACCCTTCTCCAACACATAGTTATATCTCTGAACCATGTGGCCTCTAAGAGTCCAAGTAGCTTGGAGATAAAGGGTTGGTGGAAACAGGATGATTCTTAACTGCCTAGATCAAGCCTAGAAGTGATGGTGGATCTGTTTTTGCTAAACTCTGGGATGCTTCACCAAACATCTCTTAGCCTTTTCAGGTCTTTCATTCTCTGAGTAACCCATTCCTTGCATTGTATTCCCTGTTTCAATTACTGAGAGTGATTTCTGTGTTCCTGGTTGAACCATGACTGATGCCAATGCATCTCTAGAAAAGCTCTAGCCTCCTAGCCTGATTTCATGTGCTCCCACAGAACTCTGAGCAGGCAACACTACTGCCCCTATCACACCGTGTGGTTGCTGATTTCCTGTGTAGAGCTTTTAAAAATTTGATATGCATTACTTGGTCCTTGTTACAGCTCTTAAAGTAGTTAGATGCCTATTTACAGGTAAACAAAGAAATTACTTAGTTCAGCTCTCTTATCCAAGTTGCTATCATTAAGAATTGACTCAACAGTGGGTTTGGTTTGGGGTTTTACTCAAGACATGTAATGATAGATCTCAAGGACCACATTAATGTTTCTCAAAATATTACATCATGTCATTTGATTTTACTAGTAATGCTTATATTTTAAGTTTCACTTATAATAATTGCTCATAATATTTGCAAAAACTATATCAGCTCTGGTAGCATAGTGTCTAAGGCACTTGACTGCTAACCAGAAGGCTGGCAGTTCAAACCCACCAGCCACTTCTTGGAAGGAAGGTGGGGCAATCTACTTCATAGTTATACTGCCTCGGAAACCCAAGAACATGTCGCTATAGGTCGGGTCCGACTCAATGGCACATAACAACATATTTATCAAGAGGCATATGTTATCTGAATGCATCACTATAATGGGTTTTTATTAATAATCAGTGTTCTTCATTTTAGGAGCTCTGGTGGTGTAGTGCCTAAGGCATTTTACTGTTAACCAGAAGGCTGGCAGTTCAAACCCACTAGCCACTCCTCAGAAGGAAAACTGGGCAATCTACTTCTGTAGTGATACTGCCTCAGAAACCCAAGGAGGGGTCATTATGAGTCAAATCGATTCAATGGCAGTGAGTTTCATTTTTGGTTTTATTTTGGTTCTTCATTTTAAAGAAGGAAATACATACTTTCATCTGTTCTTAATACTGATAGACTTTTTTCAGAAATTAGATTCTATCTCTCCTGGCTCCAGTTCAGAATACTCATTACACATGCATTACTGATTCTTTACTTCACCAATGTTGTTGTTGTTGTTGTTATGTGCCGTCGAGTCGGCCCCAACTCATAGCGACCCCTCCTTGGGTTTCTGAGGCAGTATCACTACGGAAGTAGGATTGCCCAACCTTCCTTCCGAGGAGTGGCTGGTGGGTTTGAACCGCCAGCCTTCTGGTTAGCAGTCAAGTGCTTTAGCCACTATGCTACCAGAGCTCCTACTTCACCAATATTACTTCACCAATATGGTACCTAAAATATAGAAAACATTAAGACCCTAAAATTATGTTTTATATGTACATATATTAAAATGATGAATTTAAGATTAAAATTAGTTCTTCCAAAAGAAAGCAACATATTTTTTGTTTGTTTTTGTTTTCAAGTGCAATTGAGTTGGTTCAGACTCATAACATACCTCTAACAGAGGGAAACACTGCCCAGTCCTGCACCATCCTTACAATCTTTGCTATGCTTGAGCCCATTGTTGCAGCCACTGTGTCACTCCATCCCGTTGAGGGTTTTCCTCTTTTTCACTGACCCTCCACTTTACCAAGCATGATATCCTTCTCTAGGATTGGTCCCTTCTCATGGTGGTATGAGAGATGAAGTCTTGCCATCCTTACTTCTAACAAGCATTTGGCTCTGCTCTTCCAACACAGATTTTTTTGTTCTTCTGGAAGTCCATGGTATATTCAATATTTTTTGCCAGCACCATAACTCAAATGTATCAGTTCTTCTGTGTTGTTGTTGTTGTTATGTGCCGCCAAGTTGGACCCGACTCATAGTGACCCCTCCTTGGGTTTCCGAGGCAGTTTCACTACGGAAGTAGATTGCCCCATCTTCCTTCCAAGGAGTGGGTGGTGGGTCAATTCTTCTGTACTATTCCTTAATTCCAGTTTTCTCATGCATATGAAACAATTGAAAATACAGTGACTCAAGTCAGGTGCACCTTAGTCTTCAAGGTCTGACATTTTTGCCCTCTAATACTTTAAAGAGGTCTTTTGCAGCAGATTTGCCCAATGCAACACATTCTTTGTTTTCTTGATGGCTACTTCCTTGAATGTTGATTGTGTATCCAAGGAAAATGGGATTTCTGACAACTTCAATCTTTCCTCAGTTTATCATGATATTGTTTCTTGGTCCAGTTGTGAGGATATTTGTTTTCTTTGAGGTGAAATCCATACTGAAGACTGTGGCCATTGATCTTCACCAGTAAGTGCTGCAAGTCTTCACTTTCAGCAAGCAAGGTTGTGTTTTCCTCGTATTGCAGATTGTTAATAAGTCTTCCTCCAATCCTGATGCTGCATTCCTCTTTATATAGTCTAGCTTCTTGGTTTATTTGTACAGCATACAGATTGAATAAGTATGGTAAAAGGTACAACCCTGATGCACACTATTCTTGATTTTAAACCATGCCATATCCCTTTGTTCTGTTCAAAAGACTTCCTCTTAGTCTATGTACAGGTTCCTCCTGAGCATAATTCAGTGTTCTGGAATTCCCACTCTTTGCAATATTATCCATTTAATCAGTAATGCATTTCTCCTTAGCTTTAAATTACATAGGCATCTAGTCTTAATTTTTTTCAAAAAAATAAAAAATGGCTGCTAATATACATGACAGATGTTGTATATTGTATGACTCTTTTGTGTTGTTGTTGTTTGTTGTTGTTATGTGCCATTGAGTTGGACCTATTATAACCTGGAAAATAAGGATAATAATATGTTTCACAGGATTTACTTAGGCAAAATATGTGAAAGACCCTTTATAAGGCATAAAGTGTTACAAAGTGCTGAAATACTGAGGAATGGATGTCTGTATGTACATATATATGTACAGAAATATATTGAAGGAGATTGAGAGACTGAGACTAGAAAGGTGTATATAAAAATACTTAAGGTAATTGTCATGATTGAATATTCTTCTCTGTAATTTTCTATGAAAGTATGATAAATATGTGCTGCTTTTGTGAGTAGAAAAAGTACCATTAAAAAAGTGAAAAAGAGAGGGGTTCCGGCAAGATGGCACACTAGGCAGAAAGACTGCACAGACCTTCTTCAACAAAGAAAAGGGAAACCAATTAACACAGACACAGAAGATAATCCTACACCCCTGAGCCCTGAAGGGAAGGATATAGAAGTGAACTAAACCCCAACTAGCAGAAGAATTTGCGTGAAAATACCAAAAAGGAGACATACGGAGCCGTGGTCTGGCAGCGATCCTGAGCTATCCTGATGGCACAATCAGCTTGGAGATTCCAGAGTGGTAGTAGGACATAAAGAATTAACCTAAAAATCACCCTGCTAGCCAGGGACTCCACGGAGGACTGTGCACGGTGGCTGGGGAACAAACAGAGAAGGTGAAGAGAAAGGTGGGCTGAGCTGTGGATTTTTGCCAGTCCAGAGGGCGCCACCATTTTGAAGGTTTAAAAAGCGGCTTGACTATTTTGGATA